TTCCCCTATCTCCCTCAAGGGTGCATTAGCACACATGTAGAGGGTAACAAGTCAGGATTGTATCTGCCAAAGCCCGCAGATGCCCTTGCCACAGGTCTTTATGAGGAGCCAGGTGTGGAGGGGGCAGCTCCCTTCACCGCCACCCACCCCCCCCCAGCCCCGATGGTGCCCTACCTTCTTATCCAGGCACTTTTTCCATCTCAAACTCCTCCTGTAGCTAACAGGAATGACCAGAAGTGTAAACTTTTGAAAAAGGATTTACGCCAATGAAAGGCACTCTCACCATGAAATGCCAGCTATCTGTCCACAACCCCAATGAAGCATTTTGGGTGCTAGGACATCATACCAGAGGCCCCACGTAAGCAAAAACTTCTAGGCGGCCAGCTGCTATTAAGGTGGAGACTATTTTTCATCAAGTGCTTGGTACACAGTAGACTATTTTTCATCAAGTGGTTGGTACACAGTAGGTGCTCATTAAACTAGCACAGATTTTCCCAAAGCCTGCTGATGGAAAAAAGGGCTGGTGGTAAAAACACTTGGCTTCTCTCTGGCCACTCTTCTGGAGCTTTTTAACATGTGCCGTGCACCGTGGCACCAGCCCCCTGCATCTTCTCCATGTTCTCTGACCACGAAGCCAGTAGGTATCCTAGGGTTTGCATCCCAGGGGACTTGAGCTCCCTGAAGCTCACTCGCATCCCTTCCAACTCCCAGGAAGGGCTCATGACTTCCCATCATTCATTTTAAAAAAACAAAACCTGAACTGTTTTCCATTACACACACGCAAAGAAAACTTTGAACTCTTCTAGCTTCTTTTGTACTTACCTCTATGTTTCTGAATATGCTTAACTGCTCTTGAATTTCCAGGTTCAGACATTGTTGGCTTCCCACTGCATGTTCACTCAGTTCTCACGCTCTACCCAGACACAGGCACACATTTTCTCAGTTCCATCATACATTTTTGCTAAAGCAATGATTATCATCTCTTGTATGTAAACTTTACAGCTGGGTCATGTAGGATACTATGGTTGTTATTCTCTTCTTAATACTTTCTGTCTGGCAATAAATTTGCTTAATTTTCTGTGTCTATTTCAGATTCATCCTAAACCCTCTGACAGTACAGGTGGAGTGTTGACACTTCCGACCAGTCGGATCCTCTCACGGGGCTGGTGTGGATGGATAGCATGGGCCTGGGCCGCTCTCTCACTGCTGGTCCCTTCCCAACACAGGTTTCAGGATGCCCCATTTCTTTTCATCCCCTCTTCCTCAGGCAGCCTTCTGAGAATGGCTACAAAAGGAGGTACATTTTTTGAGGCCCCTATTCCTACTACGTCCTCGTGGTAACCCCTTTTCCAGGACAAGAGGGATTGCTCACCATACTCTGACTGTGCAGCTGAGCCTGTGCTGCTAAGCCCTACCTTGAAGACTGCCTTCATCATCCTCCCTTCTTACTGTAGGTTCTGTTGGCATAAATAAAAGCCAGGCTGCTGAAGGTCTGCACCACTCTGTTTGCTGCCAGGTGGCAGGCCAACTCCCGCAGGCAGGTGGGGTGAGCACACAGGCAGTCCTACTGCCCCTGACTAGGTGTGGCATGTCCCAAAGTCCAGGCCCCCTTCAGCTCTTGGCCAGTTTCACCTTCACCATGCACTTGAATTCCTCTGAGGATTTTTCATCACCTCACGATGGTCGTGTAGTTATTCTCTTTGCCACCTGCTCAGCCACACACCCCCTTCCCACTTCTCAGAGAAATCCAAACCTTCGTATGATTGGTTTAATTTTTTTTCCAGCAGGAGAAAAAATAAAGTTACTAAATTCTTTTAGTATTTTCACAATGTTAAAACTAAAACTGAGCTCTAGGCTACATGTGTAAGTAAATCTAGAACATAAAAGGGTTAAGTAAGATTTTTTATAAGGTCCTTCCCTGGGTGGGATTTGGGTCTAAAAGATTCTCCGCTCCCACCACCCCTAGGACCCAGGCACACCTACAGCTGTGTGTACCTGGGCCCTGGGGTGAATGTTCATTCCTCCACCCCTTTCCCTCTCTCTGATCAATGTAAGAGGCAGCACAGTGCTGGGCAGCTGTGGCCACCCCTCGAAGCTGGGGGAGAGGAGGAGGAAGGCAGTAACCTGTAACCCACCTCTAGCTGTCTTACACACAGGGATGCAGCTACGGGGCTTCTGTAGCAGTTTCACGTCAGACAAAGCCCAGGGCAGCTGGTGACCTGTGACTGCTGGACCTGCCGAAAAGCCCAGAGACGTTACACAAGCGAAGGGCTGGGCTGACGGCAGAGACCGTCGTGGTCTTCCTGCCCCTCCACACACTGAGAAGGGAGAGGAGCAGCAATGCACCAATACCAAGCCCCATGCAGAACCCTGCACCATGCCCCTTGGTGGCTGGGCACCAATGCCCAAGTTAGGGACCCAACCCCTGAGCCAGGGACCTGGCTGCACAACAGTTGCTCAAGGGGAGGCTATGGACCACACTGTGTGGCTGGGACCAGCCCCATTCCCCTCACCCTGTGGTTGGCCCCAGAATCACCGCAGCAGGCAGTGGCCTGGTTCTGGCTGGAGTTCTGGCCAGCACTGCTGGGGTGGGGTTCTGACTGCAGTCAACAGGGCCTCAGGCCAGGATGGTCCTTGGTGAGCCCTCCCCTTTCCCCCATCAAAGGGTGCTGTGCCACAGATATTCCTTTAATCCAGTGAAAACAATCCCATCACGACACCAGCCAGGGTTTCAGGTTTTATTTCTGTTGTCAAACTTAGTGATAAAGTGCTCTTGTTGGCCATGCCGCCCTAGCAGGCCCAGCAGACACATCTCTCCTAAGTCAAAGCAGACTGAGCAGCAGGGCCTGGGTGGCAGCGCGAGCGCCAAGCCATCAGGGCAGAGCAACCCGACAGAAACCCAGGAAGGAGCAGCTGCATGGCCTGGGCACGGACCAGGCAAGTCACCGTAACAACACAGAGGGCTCTCCATACACAGAGCCCCCTCTTTTCGAGCTCTGGCCAAGAAGACAGTTTGGTATTTTTCTGGTTACCCAGGTGTACTGGCACTTGGGAGAACTGGTGAAATAGAGAAATCCAAACTTTCATATGATTGGTTTAATTTTTTTTTTCAGCAGGAGAAAAAAGAATAAAGTTACAAGATTCTTTTAATATTTTCACAATGTTAAAACTAAAACTGAGCTCTAGGCTACGTGTGTAAGTAAATCTAGAACACAAAAGGGTTAAATAAGATTTTCTCTTTTAAAGATACAAGAATTTAAGCTTTCCTTACGTTTAACAAACTTCACAGAACAGATACTGCAGGGGAACAAGCCCTTCCTCCCCCCACCCCCCAGCGCTACCGTCATGATGTGAACACGGGCTGTGATCCTGTGCGTGTGCGCTGCCGCCAGACCCAACAGAGCCTTCTTCCCGTCCAGGCCTCAAGGGAGCCAGTGGAGCCTGAGAAGGGCCAGGAAGGGTGAGCAGTGGCCTCTCCAGGGTCAGAGCTTGGTGGGGGACTAGGCGGGGCCCACCTTACTGAGGATGGCCACGTACTAGCCAGAGGGCCGTGGCTTGACAACAGTGGTAAACGTGGGGCAGACCTGGCCCCTCTGCCCAGTCTGGGTCCTGAAATAAGAATTAAGGCTGGAGATTCTGCAGTGGATTCCACTCTGGTGGAAGTGGGAGGAGAGGGTTGGGAAGAGCATGATTTCCTATTTCAATTATTTCAGATCAAAAGACATTTGCAGCTGTAGGTGTTCAGGTATTAATTTGTAGACAGAGTCGAACTTGTCTGTTGTTTCATAAAAAGGAAAGTTGCTGGGTTGAACTATTCCAGTGGCCTGTATGTGGGCAGATCCAAGCTGCCTTTCAGGAGCCTCCACCAACCCTCACCTACCTGGATGAGACAGAGTTTGGGCTGTGGGACCCCTGCTCTGGCTTCAAGACCCAGGGTACCTGAGCCGCCCACCCCATCTCACATAGGGAAGCAAGTCCCTGTCCACCCTCCTCACCCGGCCTTCCAACATTATAGCTACTAAACTCCCTTCTGCCCACATGCAGGGGTACGGGATGAAAAATCCACTCCCACCACCTGAGCAAACATCATACTCTTGGAGCTAGGCCACGGCCAGGAACCACTGTTCTTGACAGATGCACAGATATCCCTGTGAGATATGTCGCCGTCCCTTCCTAAGCTTGCCCTGTGATAGATGGGCACTGGTTGTCCTTGGACTATGGGGCTGCATAGAAACGAATGTGGAGGCCCCTGCATCGTCCTCTTGGGCCCTGGAGGCTGAGCGGGCTCTGCTGGAAAGAGCAGGGGCCAAAGGCAGCAACGGCTCCAGCTGCTCCCCTGCACAGCTTCTGACTCCTCTTGGCTATGAAACATCTTGTTAAAAACTCCAATATAGAACTCTAGCTGCAGAGGCCAGTGTGGCTGGGCTGTGACTTAGTCTTATTTGATCAACTGCCAGACCCCTGCACTCAGCAAACGGCAAACCAGAGCCAGTGGGGCCAGGGTGCCCCTGGTCGCTTCTCAGGACCATGGATCCTGTGTAGAAAAGGTGGTCTCGTTTGTGGACTAGTCTTGAGTGGAGCTAATTTCCAAAGTGAGGTTATTGTTTCTCCTCTCGTGCGATGAGAGAGTTTTTTCATAGTAAGTCAGGTAAAAAATTGTCCTAAGAATCTGCCTCCCACCCCCATCCCAGCTCTGTGGAAGATCGAGGCCACCCCCAGCCCAGCCACGTGGCCGATCTCAGCAGCCACCTGTGGCCAAGGCACACACGGCCATCAGGTCTCCTAGCTTCTGGGACTAAGGATAAGTGAAGAGGTGAAAGGCTGAACATTAAACAGTTTCTGGCAAAGCCATGTGCGTCCTGGGAACTTTAACACCAGCGTCTACTCCTCTATAACTCAGAGTCTCCATCTGGAACACTTTCCACTTAAGGCTTTTTATAAGTTTGACTCCAGCAGTGACAGGTATGTGTTATTTTAAATCCACTAGCCATGCTCAAAAAAAAATACTCTTCATGTTTTAATTTTATACAATGGCTAGCAGGCACCTTAGTAACCAGCCAGAAATCAATTTCAACCACCATCAACCCCTAAACTACAGTACCAGGATGGCTGGCTAAAGAAAGGAAACAGACTGGCTGTAGTCTGACACGTGCCCAGTACAAGGTGTCTGGCTGACTTTGTCCTAAATAAGGCTAACATTAGTGAACTAAGAACAGCGTCATGTGGCGGCCGCGCCTGGCCTTCAGGAGCACCCCTCCCCGATGCGCTGGCAGGAACGCCCCACTTTCCGGTCCAGTTTCACCATTTTCATGATGGCTTCCTCTCGACCGCGGCCCATGTGGTCAAACGTACAGTCATGCTGCTCAGGGAGGCGATGTAACATACAGAACACGTAACCTGCAGCAGTGGAAGAAGCAAAGGAGACAGACTGTTAGGGGGTCTCTGAATGCCCATGCCTTGCCCTCACGCTGGTCCAGAGACTGGAGGTAGGCAGCTCCACCCTTCACACGGGGTCCATCATCTACCTGCCACAGTGCCTCTCTCTCCCCAGAGAGGTGGTCTGACAACCCTCGGGACACTGAGGGGCTTGGTCCTCCTGCACTCAGCGCTGCTCCTTCCTGGATCCCTGATGGGTGGAGCTCCCAGCTGACCACTACACAGACACACACTCCCTTCCCTCAGAGAAGAGTGAGTTCTGAGTCCTTCCTGTTCCAGCTGGTGTGCAGGTGAGGAGCGCTGCCAGCTCAGTACCTTTCCTACTCAGGCCAATGGTAATATCCACACCAGGACCCATTATTTCTAGGAGGCAGGACAAGGAGAAGGAATGACTGTGACTTAAATTACATTCCACCTCCTGGCTACCAGGGCTTGGGGCAATGGTGGT